AGCCGAGCCCCTCCTCCTCCCCGCAGAGGCGGCCCCTCCCGACCCGCACTCACCCGCCCAGGTCTTGGACAGGACCAGGGCCCCCGAGAGCAGCAGGAGCGGGGTGTGGGACCTCTGGGTCCACATTCTCCGGGCCTGGGGAGGCTCTAGTCCGGGCGGCCCGCGTCGCGCAGTAACCGGAATCGCGGTGAGGCCGCCTCTGTACAAACAGGACGCCCAATGGGAGTGAGAGCGGGGGACGGCATCATGAGTTTCCAGGGAGGAGGGCGCGACGCAGGTTGCGAGAGGAAGTGAAACACCAGGGACTTTCCGGGCCCCAGACTCCATCGCCCTGAGACGCTGAGAGCCAGCTGGGCCCCTGGACTGGGCCCGGACCCCTCCTGCCCGGGGAGCCCTTGTCGCCGTGTCTCCGGAGTCGTGACGCAGGGCTTGTCTGCGCAAACCAGCCAGAGAGACCAGCTGGGCTCAACCCCTTTTCATTCGCTTCCCCAGGTCGTTGGCGCAAATTTAACACCAACAGGAAACCCCAATTTGGGGGCACCGTGAAGGAAGAAACTTTCAGCACAAAACAGCTCAATTGTGACCATTCTACTCTGGCCTGGGCAGTGGGCGTGGCTCTGCTCTAGAGAAACTTAGTCTCCACGGAGAGAGAGTGAGCTCTCCGAGCTAAAGCCGAGCTGGCCTATATGGACAGAAGTCCCCATCCTTGGCCCCTGATTGGTCTGTCCTCATGCAAATGAGAACTCCAAATCCTCCCATGTTGACTGATCAGAATAGAGCCACTCTGGTTGGTCGGAGTTGTGCACCTCCTATTGGATGAGGAAAGCTTCAGTCCTATTGGCTGAAAGGCATTCCAGGACTCTGCTGGGTTGGCAGCAACACCGTGCAAAATGAACTAACAAGCAAAAGAGAGACGGACTCATAGCTCACTGACAGCTGTGGGGCAGGCGTTTGGGAGGCGCGTGATGTGGAGTGATTGAGAAAAAAAGGAAAAAGGGGGGAGAACTCATGGACAACAGTGTAGTGATTGCAGGTGGAGGAGGCCAGGGAAAGTGGAGGGCATAGGGCAGTGATGGCGAACCTATGACACGCGTGTCAGAGGTGACACGCGAACTCATTTTTGGGGGTTGATTTTTCTTTGTTAAATGGCATTTAAATATATAAAATAAATATTAAAAATATACATCTTTGTTTTACTATGGTTGCCAATATCAAAAAAAAAAAATTCTATATGTGACACGGCACCAGAGTTAAGTTAGGGTTTTTCAAAATGCTCAAAAGGTTCGCCATCACTGCATAGGGGGATAAATGGTGATGGATGAGACCTGACTTGGGGTGGTGAACACAATACAGGGTACAGATGATATGTTGTAGAATTGTGCACCTGAAACCTGTATAATTTTAACCAGTGTAACCCCAATAAATTAAATTTTTTTAAAAATCTTTATTGTTCAGATTACATTTGTTCCTCTTCCCACCCCCCCATAACTCCTCTCCTCCCAGTTCCCGCCCCACCCTCCGCCCTCACTCCCCACCC